ATCGCTTAATCAGATTTTTTAAAATGGCACATTCTGCAAATTTTTACGACAGCGTATTATTAGCAATGTAGACAGAAGAGAAAAAAAAAACAGAGGGGGAATAAAATTCCACCATAAAACTCAGAAATACTGAGAATCAGAAAATGTCTAGAAAAACAGAATGAAATTGCAACTTTCGAAACAGAAATTTTCGTATTTTGAAAGTCAACCTGTAAATTTCTCAGTTTTTTTTTCTAGCAAATTTTAAATCTGGAAAATGTCTGAGATTAATCTCAAAATTTCTGAGATTTTCTCTAGCAAAGTTTCAGGTTTTCAAGATTAAAGGTTTTCTTGTTTTTCCTGGAAAATATCTCAGATTAATCTCAAAATTTCTTGGCGAAAATGTTGTCCTTTTTTTCTGTCCACAATGGCCCTAATACGCCGTTGCAGATTTTTCATTTCACCATTTAAGCCTTTTTTTATACAAGATTACAAATACATTATAGATGCAGAAAACAAAAAGAATTCAGTTCCATTTTCCACAAATCAAAACATTTTATTCCCTAAAATGCAACAACATAACATTCATTTAGAAAATCTGGACCTAAACCTGTTCCACTTGAGGAGTTTTGGTTAAAATACATTTACAGACCAAAATGTTTTAATCATTGCTGGAAAATCGATATATTTTTGCACAGTTTTGGCTTCATTACTGCTCTGAATGTTTGCAAATTGACTTTTTGACTCTGTATACTCCAGTTAACGCTTAATCGATTACTAAAGGATCATTTCAATTGTCGATTGATCACAATTAATTCGAGCGGTCGTTTCAGTCTTTATGTAAAGCTCTCACTGCCACAATACTGGCCTTAAAGAGCCTGGGATCCCAAAAGCATGGAGCTACCGCATGTCTGAGCTACGTTCTCGGTGAGTGGGAGGTACAGCAGTAGCAAACATGTTTGTTTTGGCGAGGAAGAGCGCCTGACTGGGTGGCTGATGGGAAGGTAGATCGGCGCGCTTGTGATGTTCTGGGAAGTGGTGAAAGAGAGAGTCTGTCAGGTTTTAGGTCCGGCTGTCTAGAGCTGAAGACGTCTTGCACACACCGCTTCTTTAACAGTGGCCTGGAGCTCGACCAGGCCTGCTCAATCTGAGCCTTTCAGACTAAAACCCAATTACACGGTCGACACCCGGGACGGCCAGGAGGGGGGAGAGAGGGGGGGTACGGGCGCAGGCAGGGTGGCACGCCAAACGGGAATATATGTAACCGTCCCAGACAAACGTGTTCTTTATATTGAGGAGGTAATAAATCCAGTGACGGGATAAACATTTAATATTAAACCAACCGCACTGATGTTACAATTCTCCTAAGGTAATTCTCCTAAATAAACCTTCAAAAGCAAAATCTGACCACTTTCCTTGTATGAACTGTCCATGTGCAACTCACAGGTATATCACCTTTCAGATTAATTACACAGTTTCACATCTGCAAAAGTGGTGTTCATTACTAAAAAATGTTTCTACTTCTGTTCAGGCGTATTCAAACACTTTTCCAGTCCCAAAGGCTGAGCTGCGACAGCCGTGCTGCCTAAAACAGCCGACGCACACAGGAGGCAAGATGGCACGTCTAACACGATTTCAGGGAAAACTGTAGCAGCTGATTGGAGCTGAGCAAAACATTCTACTAAAATGTTAGCGCTTTGTAATGCAAAAACCAAGACCAAGATTTTTCCAACTTAATGTGACGTGTAGTCCGTTCAAAACTTCTCGCTTTTATTTACAGGCATGAGAGGAAAGACGAAGAGGGTCTTCTTCACAGCTTTTGCAACCGCATGTCGCTCGACTTGACAGGAAGTCTGAGAAGTCCATTCTGTAAACATAACTAGGGAACTTAACCACCACTTTTTGTCTTATGTTAAAATGAGAGTATTTTAACATACTTATGTTAAAATAAGAGTAATTTAACATAAATACTCTGCATCCCTAGAATCAGCATCCCATTTCAATGCTATTTCTATTCTGGGGCAAACTTCCAAAAAAGTGCACAACTGCCGAAACACAGAGTTCCTTTAAATCAAGGATGAAACCCAGCTATTTAGTGTTGCCTCTGATTAATAATAACTTGAAGATTGATCATTATATTTGATGTATATTTCCTTAATGATTTTGATGATGGAATTTGACAAAACATAATGTTTATCGCCGTTTCACAACTGGTTCCTGTATTATGTTTGCATGGTGTAAAGCTCTTTGAAATGCCTTGTTGTTGAAATGTGCTGCACAAACAAACTTGACATATACATACATCACCATATAAATATACATGCTGAGAGCAAACTAGACTGACGTTTAAATACCGCCATGTTTTAGGATCTTGTAATACCCCTCTCCACTTTTCTTTTCAATTAACTTAAGAGCACAGATTCCAGATTTCTGAACCTCTGTGGAGCTGAGGCCTACTTCAAGGCCCCAAGCTAGTGCGCACAGGAGCTGGCCTGGATGAACTCAAACCGTCCACCATAGCGACGCAGCGTCCAGCTCTGGTGGGCCGTCCCCACAGCAGCCCCTCACAAACACACACACACACACACACACTCAGGCAGAGCAAACACATTTCAACCGCCAAGCACGTCTGGGAGGCATTTCATCCAGCCATTTTCTACTGTAATTAATGTCTCCCTCATGCACTCAAGCAAAAAAAAAAAAAAAAAAAACTCCTGGAAATTAAATAAACAAAAAGGGGCAGCGAGGACACATAACTCATTTCCCTTAATAAAACTCATGGCCGTTTTGATTGCAAACTCATATCGCTCTTAAAGCCTCATTCTGAGATCTGATTTTCAGCGAATGTGTGTCTTGAACTCGAGCCAAGTGTTTCAAAGTCGAGTAATGCGCCGACGTTAGACGCAACTCTTATTAACCCAAGCGTGCTCCAGTCGCAGCCTCGTCTGAATTTCACGTTTCTTCTCTAAACTCATAAGACCAAAGCTGGAAACGTGTGGCAGGACAGTTGTTCCGGGTTACCCGGCTTCTCTAGATGACTGTCGTCAAAGTGGAGAGACGACGTAAATGGACACTGGAAAAAAAAGTCCCTTCCCCTTTCCCTTCATTTAATAAACGAGCGGACCTAGCCGAGAGGCGAGATTTAAGAGGTTGTTTTCAAATTCCAGTTTGGCCATGGCCGAGAGCCTGTTTAATTTTTCCGTGATTTAGTTTAATAAGTTCCTAAATACTGTGCCGTCCCAATGCTTGCCTTACGGATCCAGGAATGTACAGCGGCTCAACGAAAGTAGCAAAGTATGAAGAGGACGGCGGAGGAAATGGCTGCGGCATTAGTCAGCGACTTCATTTGACGCAGCTTAGACTTCTGCTTTTTCTAAGAGAGCTTGAAGTTATGTCCAGGTCGCCGCTGGAAAAAGTGAAACAAGAGGTGAAGAACCGGTGACTGTGTGCACTTTGACTTTTGATTTACTCTTATTACTCCTCCGCCTCCCATCATTGACTCTTTCTGCCCTGTGCATCAGACTCGACCTCTGACCTTTAGGAAGGCAAACGCACATGTGCGTTGTTCCCTATTAAAAATGGATCTCTTCCTTTTCTGGACTCCGACTTTTTGCTGTGTTTACGGGAGCCGAGTGTTTACTCTGCAAAGAAAACTGACCTTGTTTATGGAGGAGAGAAATCTGTGGATGTTAACACAACATGTTGAAAACAAGCCACTTACCTGCTTAGATGATGTCAAAAGCCCGAGGGTTCAGGCTTCCTATTTTTTCTCTTTATGTTTTAAATATGGGATTTTTAAACATTATCTGAATTACTTTAAATGTAGTTTCTTATAGATGGTTATAGACCAAGGAAAAAGAGGAAATGGATCAGAATTTTTAATTTTTTTGTGGGTTTTATCCAGACCATGTGCAGATTCTACATCCATCCATTTTCTTTACACCCTTGTACCTTAGTGGGGTCCCCTATCTCCAGCTAATGTTCTGGGCGAGAGGCGGGGTCACCTGGACAGGTCACCAGTCTGTCGCAGGGCAACACAGAGACACACAGGACAAACAACCATGCACACACACATTCATACCTAGGGACAATTTGGAGAGGCCAATTAACCTGACAGTCATGTTTTTGGATTGTGGGAGGAAACCGGAGTACCCGGAGGAAACCCACGCATGCACAGGGAGAACATGCAGAAAGACCGGGGCCGGGAATTGAACCCAGAACCTTCTTGCTGCAAGGCAACAGCTCTACCAACTGCGCCACTGTGCAGCCCTACATGTAGACTCAAATATGTAAGTATTATAAGAAAAAATAAATGACAAGAATAAAGTTATAATATAGCGAGAAGATAAAGGTACGAGAGTAAAGAAGTTCGAGAATGAAGTAGAAATTACATACAGTTGTAATATCAGAATAAAGTCATAATATTATGGCCTTTATTCTCATTATGCTGACCTTTATCATAATATTATGACTTTATTCGCATATAATTTTATTCTCGTAGTTTTAGGTTGTTGTTTTTTTTCTTAGCCCTAATACTCCATTGTACAAATATATTTACACCAGCCCTAATATTATTGTGATATCAATGTTTCTTAGCACATTTCAGAGAATGAGCATACATTTTTGGGGTCTTCAACAATCTTCAGGCAACATTCTAGTTAAATATATAACTGTTTTTTTATATATATATTATTATTCAGAAATTGGAAAGTTGACTGGTTTCCTACCATTGACTGGGTTTTTAAAAGCTGCGTTTTACTTGTGTTTATGTTTGAGTGTTTTTAAACTTGCACAGAATGTTTTTGGAAATCATTGCATTGTGAAATAACAGTAAAAAAAAAAAGTCATAAAAGTCCAGATTAATCTAACAGTCATGATAAATCAATGTAAACTTAACACCGGAACTCTAACACGTGACATAAATCTGTCATGGAAGGTCTCCAACTTTTATTTTGCAGATCCTCCAAGTGTTTACTGTGAGTGACATATGGATGGTATGGTTATGCAAGATGAGCACACACCTGCAGCAGCAGCCTTTCGAAACCCAGACAGGAATCCCAGCGGGCCAAGTTGGGGTGTCGGAGCGTCTGGGCCGTGGCCAAGCCCAGCTGAAGCACCCCGCAGTGACTCTCTAGCGCCTCCCAGCTGCTCCGGAACAACTTCACATAGGAACACAGCTGATCGGGGGTCACGCGACCTGAGAGGAGGGAGATGCAGGGTGAGATATTTGGACCAACAGAGCAGTGGATGCAATAAATATTAGCAAACGTAGTAATAAAAGCAGTAGTAAAAGCGTTTTTCAGGAAATGACAAAGTGGTTGGACATCGTGATTTGTCATGCGACTGCATCTGATAATTACAATATGAGATAAAATGAATAACAGTGTTAGCGAGCCAATGTCTCCAAGGTTTGGGACATCCTCAGTCAATAGCTGATTCTCCATTTACCTTAAAATTGCACAATTTGACACTTTGAAAATAAATTGGCATAATGAAAACATGCCGATTTTGAAAAAAAAGTCTTGATGTTTCAAAACAGAGTTTGACGCTAGGATGAGGTGGTTTATCAGCCGTATCGGATCTGATTTATTTAACTGGCTTATTTCACAAAGCTTCAATGGAAACACTTTTTTCATATCACAGACGTCATGTGATCAACAACCTGATGTTATTACTGGTGGAAGTGACAAAGAAGACGACAGGAAGTGGTAGGAGGACGATGGCGTGGCATGTTTTTTTTTTTTTAAATGATTTATCTTGTGAACATACTTATTCATGTGTGATATTAATTGTGTTTTTTTTATTTAATGGAAACACAGCAAACACACAAATCGTGTTTTGTTCAACATTCGCGAAATACTGATAACGTTTGGAGCCCATCTGCAATGGAAAGGCAGCTATTGATGCTTCTGAACGGAGCAGGGCACACGGCCTTGGAGCGTTGGCTGAGTCGTGTTGTTTACTGGAAAATAATTGGGACGTATCTTTTGATGTACATCTTCCACTGCAGATGTGTGCTGTCCGTAATCCATCAACAAAGCATTCTTTGTGCCCGGTAACCTTGACTGGCGGTTTTCCTTGACCGGAGGCTCCCAGCTGTAGAGCGACTGCCAAACACGTGATGCATCCACTTTTGTTTGGAGCTGCCCCTCTAGATTTGCTAGGTCTTTACAAAAGAAAAAAATAATTTCCTTAACCATCACTGGTGTGCTTTTTTTTTTTTTGCTCGTGAAAACATTACATTATATCCAACATGGGCCGTTTCTCCTGAGGGCTTCAATTCATTTTGAGTTTCATGTTTTGTCTTACTGAGTAAAAGCTCTGGGGGTTTAAAACAGGCAGTCATGAAGCAATATTCCTCACACTGCAAATACAAACCCTGTGTTACCATGAATTACTGACTGTGCCTGACTGCAATTAAGGAAATAGTGCGGGAACACTGATTGGAGCTCCTGAAATTCTGTCTGGGCTGTGACTAATATGTGTAAATGAGAGGCCTTTGCTGATTACATAAAGATACGTAAGAGAAGAAACCAGACAGACAATGTTTAGGATCTGCTCCGCTGAACATTTCCAAATCCCCAGCCGTCTTCTTAGCCCCCTCTCCCTCCGCTCCTCAGGAAGGATCTGAGCAAAACTTAGCAACAACAGCATAAAGAGTCAAGTCCTAAAAGACTAGAGAGATGGGATACAACACCTCCGCATGAGCGCATTCATTTGTGTTGATGTGGGTGTATTTTGGGTTTGAATATGACCAACATTTATTTTGGCAAGGCCAAACATATGACCAGAAGTGAAACTGATGATAAGAAATAGACCGGCAGAATACCAAATATAACTCACAACCTACAGCGAGTTCAAGGCTTTTTTCGCTATAGTCAGCACTCATTTTCCTTAAGTGTTTTTTTTTTTTTTTTTTAATTACAGTACAATTTCTGTATGTTTTGTTGGGATTTTATGCGATGGACAACAAAAAGCAGCAGATAATTGTAAAGTGAAAGGAAAAAGATGCATGGTGTTGGATCTCTTTTTGATCGCGCTTTAATTCTTACACTCTTTGCAAAGTACTTCAAGTTGTTTTTGTTGTGAAAGACGCTCTAACTTAATGTCCTCCTAATGGGTAGAAGAAGCCGAATACCAATCCCTGCCGTACGCAATTATAAGAAGCCTCAAACAATAACTAGTGAGGAAGAGTAAACAACGGACAAACTGAGGAAATATCTAAAAAGAAGAAGAAGAAAAAAAATGGGTTCAGGTTTCTCTTTGAACTGAAAACATTTCTGAAGCCGAAGCTTCGGTCCAGACCTAGTCGGAATACTGAAAAGCTCTTTTGTTAACATATCCAACCATAAAAATCCTGGCAGTAAAACTAAAGCTCCCCAAAAGCTTGATGTGCCAACCATAATTCAAGACAGAACCAGGAAATATATTCAAAGCTAGTCCGGCCTTGAATGGGCACCTAAGAATGGTGCAGAGCAGGCCAAATGTAATCAGGCTTTACAGTGAAAGCACACACTGAGTCTGAGGGAGAAAATGTAAGACATTAGGGAAACCAAAGAAAAGCAAATAGGCCAAGCAGACACACAAAGGGGCCTGCTTTGCATTACACACTTAAAGCATCTTGGCAGAGCCTTGGCTCTTATCTGTCACAGAACGTCCCTCTAAACAGCTTTGTGATTCCTTCAGCATCTTTGTGCCACATGAAAAAGGAATCTGAGGGAGATGATCTATCAGCTGAGGTCTTGTTCCAGATCAGGGTGTCTCTGCAGAAAGACGGCTGGCTGCGTGTTCTTCGCTTTCAATGTTAAGTCGCAACAAAAAAATTTTTTTCAAAGTCTAATTGTAATTTAATATAGATGGTATACATACAAAGATTCTCAGAAAGTTACATGCTGAGTGCACAAACTTTAAGTCCCTTACTGAAATATTAATTGGCTATATTGGATGAAATCTCCTCTCCAGTCTAAAATATTTTAAATTATTTAGAACTATTTTGAATATTTAAAGACTTCCTCCATAATCAACTCTGATCAGCTTCACTGTCATAGATTAAGAGAAGCATGCCCACAGCATGATGCTGCAACCACCACGTTTCACTGTGGGTGGTGCGTTCAGGGCGATTTGTGGCACTCTGCATGTAGGCCAAAACATTTTGGTCCCGTCTAACAAATGTTCTTCCACATGTTTCCTGTGCCTCCTACACGGCTAATTGCAAAAGGTATTTCTTTTATCAATGGTTTCCTTCTTGTCGCTCTTCCATAAAGACCAGATGTATGTAGTTCTCGTGTCAATAGATTCTCCCACCTGAACTATGGATCTAAGCAGCCACTCCACAGTCATCATGAGACTTTTTGGCTGCTTTACTAATATCCACAGACTGCCAAGTTCAGGTTGATTGCCATGTCTTGGTAACTTTGTAGTTGTCCAGAACTCTTCGTTTTGATGGATAATGGTTAGAACAGCGCTCTGTAGGTTGATGAAAGCTTGGAATATTACTTTATTTATGTAACTCTTTTCTAAACTCCTCGACAAATAGAAATCTCTCAGGCCTTCACAGAACAGCTTGAGCATTGTGCTTGAGCTGGATTTTATCTTAAGGTATCAAAGTAATGGGGGTGAATGCAAATGCATTTTTCTTTCCAAACCATGTGCCATTTTCATCTGCTTCACAATCATGAGGTACTTTGTGGCGATCTATCGCATAAAATCCCTATAAAATATATCTAACTTGTGGTTGTAAAATGACTAAGTGTGGTAAAGGGACATGTGCGGCGCTGTAACTTATGACATCATGTGGTTCATAAGTATCATATACCAGGATGTCGGTCTCTGCACGGCAATTCTCGTAGCCCTTAAATGAAGATGGCTGAGAAACCTGAACCGTTGGGCCCATTTTATTGTCCTTTTGAGGGCATTTATAGAAAGAACAGACATAAAGCAAATTTCATTTTCATTCTTGTGCTAAAAACGGCTTGAGCTTTAGTCCATTGGAGCAGGATGTGCAGAGGTGGCAATTGAGACATGGTGATCACGATCAAAGTCTTCCATAGAGCAAGTACAGAAAAGGGCAACGATGATTTAGCTCCGTTACTGGAAGATGACTTACATTCTGGGTGCACGGGGTTGCAGAGGAGCTAAGTGATCTCTGATGCGAGTTGCAGAGCTGAGTTGTGACCCGTCTCAGCAGCCCGACAGCCTCATAAGTAATCCCGTAAGACTTAGGGACGCAGGAAGTCTGAGAGTCTTATTTAAGCGGTCCGAAAGGAGGAACATCCTGAATGTTGGGGTGAATGTTGGGGCCTCTGCTCTGGACTCTACACCACATTCAGGCACACACTGCACCACATCACTCAACGGCAACGACAGTTTTCATCAATATTTTCAACAGTTGGTTAAATCATTTACATTTTAAACAAAATTACCTCAATAAATAATTTCTAAGAAAATATATGATGAAAGTTGTTTGGGAATCAGCTCTAGAGACCACTGGGTAGCACTTAAGTGCTACCCAAAAGGTGAAACTCTCGATTTACTGGCCAGTCTACGTTGGTCTATGGTATTGAACTCTGGGTAGTGACCGAAAGAACAAGACCGGGTGTTGTGGCTCTCCCTTACAGATAAGGTGAGAAGTTCAGTCATTTGAAAGGGACTCCACTGCATCTCCACATCAAGAGGAGTTAGCATGCCTCCTGGATGCCTCCCTGATGAGGTGGACCAGGTATGTCCCACCAGGAGGAGACTCAGAGGAAGACCCAGGGAGTGGAAAGTCTTGGTCTTTGTGCTTAGGCTGCTCTCTCTGCGACCCGACTCCCAGACAAACAGAAGATAATGGATGGATGGATAAATGCATCAAGATTCAGAAATTTCTTCTCAAACTCTTTCAGGCAATACAGGAACCCTGCTGGATCATCAGGGCTCTAGTTACATCACTTGTAGGATGACTTGATACAAATGACAATGCAGCAGCTGTATGAATCCATTCTGAACCCAATCCCCTCTGGTACCAAAGCCTGAGGGCATGCCCCGCCCTTCTGCCACGGGACCAGCAGGGTGTCTGCACAACCACTCTGTTATCCATTTAGTCTGGTGTAAACACAGGCAGATTTGAATAAACACAATTACAGATGATGAAATGTATCTATTAAAGTCCCATTTAGGACCCAAAACACCCAAGACAAACACGTATTGTGCATGTTCTCACGCACACTGAGGGAATTTCATCATCCTATTACAATCCTATTACATCCTATGAGACCTTAAACGGGTCAACCTCAGGCTCTGAGAAATTGATTATTTTCTCTGTGTCTCTCTGGATGATTCTATTCTGCTGAAAAGCCAAGCTGGATCCGAGGGTGTATGAAACCAATGAGCACGTATGAGGCCCTGCAGTGCACACGCAGAGTATTTTCTTTGTTTATCTGGAAAAACCAACAAGAGCGAGAATGAGCTCAGATATGAGTGGAAAAATGTTAGTCTTTAAGAGAACTGCAGGGCACCAAGCAGGGATGCAAACCATTCATGGAGTTACGATTAATTGTTGATGAATGTTTTATTGGATTAAAATTAGTTCCAGTTGATTAACTAACAACACCAGCTTAGACATTCTTTTGGTGTTGTCGTTTGGCTGCCACCCAGCAGAGAGCGCCGCCGGTCACCCTTCAGTTGAAAATGGCGGAGCCATACCAGAACGAGAAAGAGAAACACTCTGAACAGAGTCCGGAATGGGATGCAAAATGAACTCTATGCAGTTCTCTTTTGAAATATAAACACGTGAAGCTCTTTAGGTTTCACCTTAATAGCTCTGATTCTCCCGAGCTGCTTGACGGAGGAGCGTCAACTTCTCAATCACAAACTAGTGATGTGCTACGAAGGTGAAGATGTGATGACTGAACCGAAGAGAGGATAGCGCAGAAAACTTGTCACATGGAAGAAAAAAAAAACGTGACGCCAATAAGCAAGGCTGATTTTTTTATCGTTCGAGTAAAATGAACTTTGTTCTTTCATTCTATGAACTACTGACATGTCTCTGAAAGTCCAAGCAAAAATTTAGTATTTATTTGCAGAAAATGAGAAATGGTTAAAATAACAAAAAATATGTGGTTCTTTCAGACCTCAAATAATGCAAAGAACACAAAGTTGATATTAATTTAGAAACAACCATACTAATGTTTTCACTCAGGAAGAGGTCAGAAATCAATATTTGGTAGAATAACCACAAGGTTTTCAATGGGGTTCAGTGCAGTGGGCTTTTCATTTTTTTTCAGAGCTGCATTTTATGCTTTTCATCTTTTGTTTTTCTGTTAAGCAACGTAAGAGTTTTCCGTTCTGCTATATTATATATATACACTTATGTGTCTAAGCTTAATAATGTGAGAAAGCCACACTTTTCTGTTTGTTCAGTCAGTATTTAACACAGCAGACACAAAATATTTTTTTAAATTTAATGTCGTTTTTGTTTTTTAATTCAGCATATGAACATTTTTACTCTTTATGTTATGGAAAGATTGTCAGTCCTCTTGATACAAGAGAAAACTCAAGTTTTTCAGAAAACGTCCATTCAAGGACATAGGACCAGTCAAAGACTAGTCATAAAACCAATCAACTTTAGATTCACTCATTAATTGGTAACTCACGTCTTTAGCATCAAGTCAGCAGATTAGTATGAGTTGAATGTGGTGCTTTGGAGGAGAGAATGATGGATTGAGAACTTGGCTGTCCTGCAGAAGGAAGACAGTGTGGGGGGTTCATCGGTAGCTCACAGGGGGATCCATGGTGGTGTCCGTGCCTCTGCCAGTATGCATAAAGGTTCAGTGTGTGAGGGGCCTTACAGTGGCCCATTCTCTCCCTCCCTCTCTCTCTCAGCAAAGACATTAAATCAACAGACTGTCAGTCAGCAGGCAGAGGCCGCTTTAATGCGCCTCCTTATTCATACACTCCTGACTTTACTGTCGCTCCTAAACTCTGCAGAGCATTTGTTTAAATAAATCGTTTCAGATTCCACAAAATGTGCACTGCATCACAAAAGTGCGAAAAGACGGCACAGCGTGCACATGCGAAAAACTTTACAAGGCTGTGTTTGAGAGTGTGTGTGATCTTGTTATGAGACCTTCTTTACCTCACAAATTACAGGGGCTCAAGGACCAACAAGATCCCTCCCTTTTTAAAAGCCCCCTTTTCTGCCAGATGTTAACGTGAATGTTAAGACCGGACTGTGTGCATGTGAGCAAAGGATAGCGCAAAGTCCAAGGTGCACGGAGTCACTTCACGTTTGCGTGCCTGCACATATTTTCATCCCTCGCTTCAGACTCCTTTGCTTCATTACCAAACAACAAAAGTTTTTTTTTGAAAAAGCAGTGTGCGTGTGTGTGTATGCGAGCGAGCGAGCGAACATGTGTATTTGTGCGAGTGTGTGTCATGCAGCCAACATGTGGTTCAGATTTCCTCTGGGGCCACATGTGCAAAAACACAGCTAGCCAGAAAAGCTGGATCTCAGTGGGATCTGCTGCAGCCCGGCTGCAAAACGCTGAAATACAGGCGCATGCTTCTCCTCCAGAGTAAATATCTACATGCGTCGCTTTTATGTGATGCAAATGTTTATGTTTCGTTTTTTTTTTCTGGGCATTGTTATTAGTTTGTTTTATAGTTCATAGGAAATCAACCCCATCTGTGGCTTTGTATGGGCTGGTATGATATTATAAAGGCATATCAACTTTTATTAAACGATCGGGGGTTTCAAACAAATAGAAAAAAAAAACTGTTACAAGATTTATGTGCTTTTATTTTGAACAGAAAAGCAACAATCGGTTCTACTGATGCTGAAGTTGTATAATTGATGCATCAATCATGCTTCCTCTGGCCGATGCCAATAAGAGATTGTCCAATTAACGATTCCTTTTTTGACCACTTCAGTGTTCTGGCTATACTGTAAGAGGTATGGCCCCTTTACAGCCATAACTCGTGAAAGTGGAAAAATGTGCTGAAGGTTCTTTGATTGAGGATCAAGAACATCCTTATTGAAGTACTAATTTATTTATTGTCTTTACCAAACTAAAAGAAAGTGCGGTGAAGTACAGAGTGTTAGTTTTAAGTTAGTTTTTCAGTCCATTTAGAGCCAATAATAAACTAAAAACTAAACTAAAACTAACACCATATACTTTAATGCAATAGAGAAACTATCATTTAACTCTTTGCAGTGTTTCTGTTCACAAACCAAAAATGGCAGAAGTTATCGGTTTTGCTGGACTTTAATAGTTCTGACTATAATCTTAGTATAATGTTTTTTTTCAGTGGCCGTAATCCTCTTCTGTATTACTGCTACACCAATGTTATCTATATATTATATTTCTATAGAGCAAACATCAACTACATTTTGAATCAGTTTCAAGTTTGAATTGAGCAGAAATGTTTTTGCTGTTCTTCCTTTAGATGAACACAAGCATAACAAGCTGCACTTCTGTACTCTACGATCCACAGTCCACAGTCAGAAAAAATCTCCAGCTAGTCTAGAAATGTCTATGTCTTATCAATGTCCGTAGGAAAGGCATGAGAGAAAACATTTGCTTCTTTAAAGGTGTTGCGTTGGTTTTTAAAAATTTGGTATGCTTCGATACTGGTAACCATCACATGTGGCATTCACATGCTTACTATGGATACAACAAATTAATCAACTAATTAGTTGTCGATTGATGGTTTACTAGATTAAAAATAACTAAAAACATCCACTCAGACCTTCTTTTTGTGTTGTAGATTGGCCTCCATTCAGCAGAGGGCGCCGCTTAACATCGTTAAGCAGAACCAATCGAGGCAGAAAAAAAATATATATATTTATATATTTTTTTTTATTTAATTCAGCATAAGATGAAAATTTTTGCCCTTTATGATACAGATTGTCGGTCATCTCTCTCGACTGTAGTTGATTGATGAGATCAATCAACTTTAGATTAACTCATTCATATATAACTTGCATCTCTAATGCTTACCCATACTCATCTTGATTGGCAGCTTCTCCTTAGTGGCCGCCTCCACCAGGTGGCGTCGGACTTCCATCAAAGCCTCCTTGTGTTTACTGGTGAGCATCGTCTCCCACAGCAACCTCGCAGAGGACGACCTGAGAAGCAGACGAATTCAACACGAGAGCTTAGGGGCAAAGAAGAGTCACTGGTTTTTGTTCATCTTGGACACGATCGAGAGTTTGTCTTGTCATCAAACCAAATACTTTTTTTTTTTTTTTTTTTAAAACAAAGGGGTAGATGCAGAATGTTATCATGTCAATCTAACAGAAAACTCCAGTGTGCCAGCATTCGTCAGGCCCGGTCAGTGCCTGAAGCCAAACAGCTTGCAGACCAAGACACCCTCCATGGTGCCATCGCTGGGCACATCTCATTCCCTCATCTCATTATCCGCTAGGTTACAAAACAGCCTGATTCCCATCTTTGATTGCGAGTGATGACAGGAACCACATGCAGGGCTAATACCATCTGCCGCCAGCAAGAAAAAATAAAATGGTTCCTATGAAGCCTTATCATTGCTAAATTTGCAGATGACAGGAATTGCTCTTCAAAGCGGCCGGTGTCACACTTCAGGCACCAAACGCATTTCATATCTAAGTATTAATTTGTCTCTTTTCCAACCTCATCTGTTTAATATGCTGAGATTAGACCTAGGCCAGTGTCCTTGCTTCTGACAACTAGACAAAAGGCATGCAACAGTTACTGCTATGAGCGTATACCAAGGTTTCAAGAAGTAAGGGTTTCAAAACTGCTCAACATTTTCAAAGTCCTTTGAATGAGAGCAGAAGGAAACAAAATGCTGATTCTTCACCTCCCATTGCTGCATATGCTGCCAATCAGCTGGTTGAGGGAAAAAAAAGTCTCAAGCATTTCTCTCTAACCTACAAAAAAGACAAATTTAACACTTTGAAAGTCTTTCAGATGGCGAGAAACACAAAAAGAGCACTACCTGTCACTTAGAGTGAAGGGACGGTATTGAGGTTGTTGAAGTGAGGGTATTAAAAGGTCCCTTCAGCGTAGAAGACATATATCTACTACACAGAAGAAAAGTGAAGTCCTTGTCAGAGCAGTTAAGGGCGAACAGCTAGTCAGACTAGATTTGATATTTTAGCACTAATAGCAAAGTACAAGTGAAACTCCTCACCAGTCAATATTACAGTTAAGTCCAAAAGTATTTACTCGCAAATACACTCATTCTACCAATACACAGATCAGCAGGCAACTTGTGATTGCCCAGAGACACAATGGCAGGGAATCTAACCCACGACTTTCACATTGCAAGAAGACTTCTCTTCCCATTGAGCTGCAGTCTCTATGTTACCAATAAAGGTGTTTCTATTTATTCTTGATAAGGGTATTAAAAGTTTCTGCCATACCTTTTCTAGAAACTACTTACATAAAAGCTGTTAAATTATTATTGTTCTAAACTGATACACCTTTCACTGTCTACTTTTGCCATTTCCAATCCAAAACAAGCTTTTTGATTGGATGGAAATAATATATATATATATATATATATATATATATATATATATATATATATTTTTTTTTTTTTCCCCCCCCAATTCCAAATATGACAGCACAAATCAATTGCTCTTATTTAATTGGTGTTAGTTAAAAACAATCATGTCACGTGAAGCATCTTTTTTTCATTTCGATATATATTTACTGAAGTAAAAGCGTATCTACTAAAGGTTACGATACTGTGAGAACCTCACACTAACCCATGCCTACTAAACACATATGCACTCATGATTATTACTCCAACAATTCACCAGAAACTAAACAAAAGGAATGAGACAGAGGAGAAAAATTAAACCAAAGGACTCAGAAGGAGTGGAAGGAGACGGGGCATCGTTGACAAATCCACTGTTTTTCTTTTGCTTTCTTGTCTTTTTTTTCTAAACTTTGTTTTTTTTTTCTCTTCTCCCACCCCCACCACCCCCTTCCTCCACCTTCCACCTCATCCCACACGTCAACCACTATCA